TGTATACATATATATGTATATATATATATATAAAGTTCCGACTACCGTTTTGATGGGTACCTTTATCAATTTTGTATAATTAGAAACAATTTTAAAAGCTGCACTGATTTCGAACAATAATGTTGAGAACACCTGGGATAAATGAAGATCAACTCGTGAAGATTGCTAATTTTACATTTACATTTATACACGACCTGTCCTCACGTCTACTATGCAGATCCTAACAATTTTCGCATTCGATTCCTTTTCTTGCATCCATTATCCATGAAGATTTTCCAACTTTTACGTGTGGTTTCGGCTACTCGTGAGGATTTTTTACTTCATCTTAGATGTCGTAAAATGCTGGTCGAGTAGATTCCCCCTGGAGTCCTGAGAGAGCCGGGCTGGAGCATTCCCAATTGGATTGCAGAGAGTGTTTTTCCCGGACAAGTCCGGTACCAATTCCCCGATGCCGGAGGGAGGAAAGTCTTGACTGGCCCAGGGAGGAATCGAACTAGCACCATGCTCGCGATGACCGACATTGCTAATACATCCATGTTTATAGGTAGTGCATGTTTTTGTCTCGGTTTTTTTTTTGAGAAGAAAGAAAACTACTAACGATGAAAATGACAAGATTTCATATATATTTGTAAATGTAGTCATAGCGAGCGATTAATGCTACCTCAGCCTCATACACGGTTGTTAAAATGTTGTATATAATCATCTTAAACGAAACTTATCCAACTAGCTTTTTTGTTAGTGATTTCTTTTAGATCTCAGTTTTTATTTCTTCCTCGATCAAGAACGATTCGGCTAGGGTTATTGCAACTCATTTGTCTCGTTCTCTACCGTCTACGACGCCATTTTCGTTGGCTCTTTGTCGCTTTCATCATGAATTTCGGTATTTCCTTCTTTCCCGTCCTTCACTTTTTTTTAAAATACTTCGAGGTTTTTTTCCGTTCTGTACATCTTCATGTACATCGACATTGTTTTTAAATTCTACTAGTTGTGCATGAGCTTCCGTATCCCTTTCTTTTAGGTCTTCCTTTGCTTTTGTACCCTTCCCTTCTACGTGCCATGAGTTCTTATGTCGCTGGAGTGGTTCTCGCCATTAGAGATGTACGCGTCCATTGATATTTCTGGAGCTCATTGTGAATGCTTCTCGTTGCTTAGCTTCTAGACATCATGTGCACAACTTGCATTCATTTCCGACCGTTTGTAATTCATTAAGAAATGACAACGTGGGAAATTGGTCGAAATTCCCTGGGATTATTCATATTCTCTCAGGCATATCCTATGCTCATTTATTTTATCAACAATTGACACCAGGCCTACTCCTTTCATACACAAATCCGTTTCTCCACTAAAGGTTACAAGCTAGGAATTCCTTAAACGCTCACTCTGTCTAGTAATTCTTCAATTAGTCACAAAACTGTAGTTGCTCGTAATGCGAACGGTGAACGAGAGAAGCAGCTCGTTCATGAGCATTTCGTCAGCGACGATGAGGACGTGCTGTCAATATTCAAAATAGAAGAACAAAATCTGGTTAGAATCACAATGCTACCTTAAATTTGCTATTTACCATAAGTTTTCACGGCAGGCTATGATGCGAAATACAACCACAATTTGGGCCGATCTTGCCGATGATCCGCATGGTGTGGTGGTGAACGCGTTAGCCAGCGGCAAGCGTAATAGCGCGTTCGTTCCACACCGCAGACACCTGCTGCCCAGAGTTTTGCAAATATCTCAAAATTGAGTTATTTTGTTGTTTTACCATGTGAATTGTAATAAAAAGGTTTCTTAATGCTTTCATAAGTTTATCGTCTGTATCAGCTGTCTCGTTACTTCGCAACCACTGTTGTTTCAATTCACTTCACTCGTTGGAGATTTCTCGTAATAGTTCCTCGTCAAAAGACGAATATCCTGGCCAATGGTGGGAGCTGTGCACTAATCCTCTCAAATGAAATCGAATATTTGTAGCCAACTTTTCAAGAGAAAGTCATGCGCTTTCCAGAAATGCATTCAATTCGTCTACATTAACCTGAAGATGCACAATGCTAGCACGGATAGTTGTGTTGCTGATGTTTGTTTGGGATTCCGTCCAGGGCTATGTCTCTCATTCTGGTACGTTTCATTTATCTGATGCATACTGTCTTTACAACCTTTTAAACAGCCATATCTCAGCTCACAGTAAACTTCATTCATAGTGGAATCTACAATTCTTTCTCTGCAAGAAACAAATTTTCCAACTCTATCAAGATGAACGTCTGATATTTTGGCGCACACGGACCATGTTTTTTTGAGTTTGTTTTTGTTGAGCCTCGTATTTCGAATACAGAACCGAGCGAACAACAGAGTTTCCTCAGCGCACATGGTGGTGTTCTCCAGCACATCGCTTTTGTTTGCAACTCCTGTGTTTACGACGGAAATCTTGGAGTTTAAATTTTCTTTTTCTTTTTTTTCAGTTTTCCGATAGTCCTAATTCAAATATGTTCAATACTGAAAAATTCTGGACAAAGCTATTGTGACGACAGGTCAAATTTTCTTCGATATATCTTTGCACTCCTTATTTTTCAAATAGGCAGCGATCCAGAAGTATGCGTCAGTTGTCGGAAGAAAAACCTCCTCCGGGTGCTATTTGTTAAAAATCGCATGTTTTCAAAGTTACACAATCATATCCATAAAAGGACAAAGAATAAAGCTCTCGGCGGTGATCAATCCTTGAAGCATGCGCCATGCATTCGATTTTCATTAAGCATCGTTTGGAGGTGATTGAACTCGTATCTAGCCTTTACAATGACTCGCGGTGGCCTACCGATGTATCGAGCCAGTGCTGTTATCCTCTCAGACATGTCTGGTAGCAATTTGCCGACCCGGGAGGGATGGAAGACTTGGCGGGCCATGGGCACGGGGATCAATTCCACGTGCATGTTTCAAGGCGCCTCCGATCCACTACGCCGCAGGAGCCGTAATCATATCCATACATTCCTTAATTAACTCTCCAATTCTTTGGTCACTGTTACAGTAGACGCGATGTTAAATCTGTAGCTTTATTGTTAACATTTTATTTGCTCTCTACTACAAAATTTCACGGCAGGGTATGAGTGATACAACCACAATGATGGGGAGATATTTGCAAAACTTCGGACCGCAATTGTCTGCGGTAGGGAATGAACGGGAACGAACTTCCTCCGGAAATCGTAATAGCGCGTTCGTTCCTCACCGCAGACACCTGCGGCCCGGAGTTTCGCAAATGTCTCAGCATCATTGTGTTTGTTGTCTTAATTATCTCTTTTCTTGTAGTTGTCGTTTCTAGTATCCTGTGAGAAACGCAGACACGGATTGGAAGTGCTCCGCATTACACGAATGGTTTTTGCCTTTTCCGAATTCGGCCGACTAAGTCTCCTCCGTCCCTCCGGAATCGAAAAAGTGTATTAATGTTGTGTTTGGAAATGCTCAAAAACGATCCGCATCACAGAGTGGTAAAGACATAAAGATGTTTACGTTTTTATTCCAACCAGCATGTGAACACATTAATAAGAAGACGAGATCCTTAAGTTGCAGCCGAACCTAATCGTAATTCCGAATTCTTTATAGAATGACAAATGCAGAACAACGAATCGAATAAAAGAACAGATGGGATTCGCACAATGTGTGTTGAAGCGATATATTAAATTAAAAGAAAACTAAGGGATATTTGGATTACATTGTTTAGATACTTCCTGGGAGTTATTTGTGACCGTGGAGCTGGCCCGAACTCAAGATGTCCCTCCTTCCAAAAGTGAATTGCTTTTAATTCATACTAATCCTCGAGCCGCTCGCGGATTAGTGAAGTTTCCACTCCTCCATGTGTAGCACCAAAAACTGACCTACTGGCCCCGTTTGCGGTACAGGAAGAGCTCCACATTTTGTCATAATTGTCTCTTTTCATGTTCTTGGGAACGTTGCTAGCACTTACAACTCATCAGGCGTTGTAGCACACCAGCTCACTCCTAGCTAGGCTTCCACATAAGAGTGTGTGTATCCCTCTTCGGTTTTTTGCTAAGCATTCCCCATCCACAGCCAAGTACCAAACCATTTCATAGAGGTGATAGAGGTAATGAATATAACCTTTAGACTGATCGAATCCGAAGTAACTCTTCAGAGACTATTAGCTTAACTCATGCATTTCCTTCTCTTCATTTGTTGAGAAAACTGTTCAGTGTAAGTTTATCTAATCGCCAATTTCTTCAAAGCTGAGAAGGTGTCCTCCAACAGTTCCATATGGGTACTGTGCCAGAAGTAAACCATTACCGCAGGAATCTCGGTCCTTTTATCAGCATCACAGCCATTAGCCGGCAAGTGTTGATAACCTTTGAGAAACCTAGTATGCTTTCGGAGGGGAGGAATCAGAGGAAGAAACTCCTGCAGAGCCTGAAAATTATCATTTAAATGAAAATTGTTTCGAGACTTTTTCAACTTTTCGTATTTCGTGAGGAAGCATGGTCCAATTGTTCCATTGAGTATTCAATATGTTACAGTAATGAAAAGAAAATCAAACATCGGCTTATTACCGTATATAACGGCTGATTCAATTCAGTTTATTAATCCTAATATTGATAAATTGGTAAAAGGCGCTTGTGGCGCAGTGGTAGGAGGCGCCCTGCAACACACACGTAGAATCGATCCATGCGCCCGTGGCCCACCAAGCCTCCATTCCTCCGGGGTCGGCAAACTGGTACCAGAGTTGCCTAGGAGGATAGCAGCACTAGCTTGATACATCGGTAGGCCACCGCGGGTCTTTGTAAAAGCCAGATATGCATTTAATCACCTTCAAACGACGCTTAATGAAGTCGAGTGCATGCCGCATCCTTCAGGGTTTGATCAACGCTGACGGCTTTATATTTTATTTTATTAACATTAATAAATGCAGATCAGCTTAACTAGTTTAACTCACCTATTATTTACATTAAATGATGACTAGATAATAAACGCTTTATGCACTTTACATAGATACAAGCAATTGGAGAGTTCGATGAAAGTGTATACTGAAATGTACAGGAAACGGTCATCGCTGCTATAGCTGTATGTCACGATACTATGGAGTCACTTGGAAATTTGCCGGCTATTCGAGAATCTACGTCGAACCAAGTGCTTTCACCGACTCTTGCCGGTATCCAGCGATTTCTCTTTCCTTCTTTTTTTTTCCCAGGAATGTCAATTCTCTAGACAAATATCCCGCCAATTACAGAAATCCGCTTGGACGAGGTGCAGAGGTGCCGTTTACGTTTTGTGACGACGGTTCCAATTGCATCACAATGGTAGAAGATTTGAAGATTGGTAAGTCGATCTACATATTTTCCAGGCTGTATTGTAATTCAAAACCAACCTTGTATTTCATAGCTCAATGTGGCTGGCGCGATACAAGCATGTGAATGTACAGTCGAAGGTTCGATCCTGTTAGATGTTGAGATCTAGTGTCGTTTATCTAATACATTAAAGGAACAAGGAAAAATTTGGAGCTACGAAGTGCAAGGGCCTATATAACCATAAACATTACCCAATAAATGCGTGGAGAGTTGAAATATGAAAAAAATGTCTAAAAATGAACAGCTCCTACTAGTGTATTGTATAGCTTAGGGCAAATTATAGTGGTACCATGTCTGTGGGTGGACGGTGTGTGACGCAGTGATCGGAGGCGCCCTGCAAAACACAGGATCGAGTCCCACGCCCAAGCCCACTAAGCCCTCCATCATTCCAGGGTAGGAAGATTGGTACCAGACTTGTCTGGGAGGATAGCAACACCGGCTCGATGCATCCATAGGCCACTGCAAGTCATTGTAAAGGCCAGATATGCAACCAATAACCTCCAAACGATGCTTAATGAAGTCGAATGCATGGCGCATCCTCTGAGATTAATCAACGCCGAGTGCTTTATTCTTTTTCCTTTCACCATTTCTGCTCCAGATTGTTATCAACAAGGTGTCCGCAAGGTCACAATCTCTCCATTGTATCATATATTCTCGTGTGGCTTAGTTTCAACACCATAGTATTTTTTTTACAGGCTCTATCTTTTTTATGAAGTCCTTATTGTCTCAATCCTTCTAAAGCCCAGATGTTTCTAAAACCAGTTGAGTGGACTCCATTTTGGTTTTCTAACAACGAAAAGTGCAGGCGCAAGTGTCTAACACTTTTAGGCCAGCGATCTCAGGAAATGTAATGCGGCACTGTAAGTCAGGACCACTTGTATCACTCGTAATCTTGTTAACACCTGATAACTTGGTCTCACGTCAACAAACTTCCGAAAAAGTACAATCGCCTCTTCACGCCCCCAGTACTGCTAAATTGGCTTCACCTGCTCAAGGGTCATGGAGAGCATTTCACCTTTTGTGCGAGGTCCTTATTGCACTACTATCGGCGGAAACGCGCTTACAGGTGGCTCGTAAAGCTCCGCCATAGCGTGAATGTACTCTTAGGGAGAGGGAATTCCTGTGTAAATATTAAGCTTTCCCTCATTTTGAGTAACTCTTCTGTACTTCGCAGTTCGACATCCAGAAAAACGCTACAGCTACGATTAAGCACTCAGTCACTAGGATGAGGGAGAACACAGAAGTAGCCTGGTAAACTGCTGTTTTAGTCCTGCTTTATAGTATCTTCAAATGACATTGTTTCAATGCAAGTGAAGTAACCAATTTCTCCTCCTTTGATAACCATAAAGGTCGTTTAATCGATTGCTGAATTTCCTATGTCAGTGTTTTTAAGGACCAAAATAGATTTTGTCAACCGAAAGCGGTGAAAAATTTCAGTAAATAATAAGTGGTCCCAGCAGTTCTTGATATTTAGCTGTTGATTTCACGCCCGAAACTGCGTCACTCCTTGCCGCGTCTCTTCTGGTGAGGGCTGAATGGAAAGCCGGACGAGAATTCGATTGACCGAGACTCATTCTGTACGAAAATTAGCCAGATCGAGAACAATTCGATTTCCGCACTTCAACCTGATTCGGACGCTGATTTCGACAGTGGCACAGGCTATTTTTCATCGTAGCCTTTCAGATTGAGAAAATCTCTTAAATTCCTGAGAAGTCTCTGCTTCGTCGCAGTCTATGGGACTATTCGTGGCACCAATGGTGTGAAAATGTCTAAACGTCTCGGATAAAAACATGAGAAAAACATGAAGAAACAATCGATCAATGTCGAGGTTAATAGAAAGTCGGTCGTGGGAGTTACATGAGAAAGTATCCGCGAAGGAATTTCTTCACTTTTTCTCTGTTTTTTTAGATAGATTGACACCTGTGTAATAGGAGTAGCGCGAGAATACTTAGTGCACAACCATGTGTAGTAGTTCAAACGAACTAGTGGGCAAATTCCCTTAAGGGAGCAAAGGGAAAGTAAAAATCATCGCAGTTGGCGGCACATACTTTCCTCTCTTTCCACTAATTCAGTAAAGGTTTAGAACCTTAAGATGGCTTATTTCATCGCTCCTCACAAGTTGGGAGGAGCACTAATGGAAATCAATCTGTTTCGTCACTCTTCGTAATTGGTGGACTACTCGTAGAAATCGTTGCTTTCACACCAATCGTTGCTGTCTTCGAAGAATCATAGCTCTAAGGCAACAAACCTCTACCGAGAGAGGGCCTGTAGTAAACACCAACAAACTTTCCTAAAGACTTAGCTAGCATGGCAATCGCAGGATTCCAAGGAAAACTAACTCTCGGCCAGTGTTTCTAATAAATATGTACTTAAACCTGAGCTCAAAGCCCTTGTGTCAGTGTAAACGCTTCAACGCCTTAAAGATACATTCATATATTTGGCTCTATTAAGTATCGTATAGCTGAATGAAAGCATATTTGGTCAATAAGATGGCTTACAGAATCCTTCCTATTTATCAGCACAGACACCTGCGGTCCAGAGTTTTGCAAATATCTCAGCAACGTTGTGGTTGTATTTCGCTTAGTAACCTGCCATGAAAATTATAGAAGGCAGAAAACAAAACGTTAAACATTGTGATTTCAACTACAGCCATAGCTTAACTGGGTTCTATGCCGATTTGCGCTCCCCAGATCAACCCCGCTGACGGGTGATTGCTGTGGCAAAAAGATCGATAGAAATAGCTGAGAGACGTGCGAAACAAAGGACCCGCATGGTGTGGTGGTGAACGCGTTACTCCCCGGAAAGGATAATAGCGCGTTCGTTCCCCACCATAGACACCTGCGGTCCAGAGTTTTGCAAATATCTCAGCAACGTTGTGGTTGTATCAGCACAGTGTTTTTATTCACCCAAACAATCATTGTAGAAATTTGTCGATCCCGCAGACATGAAGCTTTTTTGAGATTGCTGGATCGAACCAACGATCAGGCGTGCATCGTAAACACTCTAAGCACAGTGCTAAACTCTGGTAGCTATTTCCTCTTGTTAGAGGCACCATCGGTTTACGTTACGACCACGTACTTATGTTGTTCCCACTAATGTCTTGTCTAAGGTTAAATTGGATGAGATTCAATAGATCGGCGTGATTACGCATTGGTCTAAAGTGAAGTGGATGGCAAACTGCGTGTTTCATCATTGTCAGCCTGACAAGCCAGAGCCGACAATGCTGAAGCACACTTGACCCACATGTGCAGTGTAATGTCATCAGCTTCGGATCGCTGTGATTGGAGTTTGACGCCACCGCCACCCACGACGCCTACTGCAACACCACTTCCACCCACGGACATAACCCAGGGAACTTTGAAATGCACTTTGCCCTAAGCATTCTCCCGCTGCTGTTACCATATAAACGTACCTTTTCGGTAGTAGAAAACGAGTAAGGAGAGTTCAGTAAACAGTAGTGGCTTTCAAAAATACTCTGTGAGCTTGCAACATTGAGCATACTTCACTCAATGCCCATTTCGAACTGCCACATGTTTCTACTATAAAATTAAGTAGCTCACCTTCACAACCACCACATTATAAATTTTAGGTACAGAAAAATTTTCAACACAATATATGAAGACTTTTAAGAGATAAACGACAAAGTGTTTAACGATTATCCATCCCTAATGGATAAAATTAAGCAACCCACTTTCCACCATGCATACGATTCGATTGAAACTTTCGTAGAGGTTGTTGAATGCATATCCTTCCTACTGAATGATTTCCGGTTTCTTAATGACCCGCCAGAATCAATTTTCCGACCTTCAAAGACGGGGTTGCCCAGTAAGCCTGAGGAACGGGGTTGAACCACTGACCATGTATTTGTTGCAGGGCGCCTCTAACCACTGCGTTACGGGCGTACAATATACGTACTTTTATGGAATATTACGTATATAGAGATGCATGCTCCAACTCAATTAGATCATACAAATAGTGAAGAAGCCTATTTGCTCACAGTTTCTTATTAAGCCACGCGACCAGTATTTTAATTATCATGGCTTATACATTCAGGACAAAAAAGAACTGTTAAGAGAAAACACTGCATATTCTTTCCTTATTTGAACGATAGGGGTGAATAGCACAGTGGTAGTGATGTCCGTCATCACGGGCATGGTGCTCGTTCGATTCCAATCCGGGCTCAAACCGATCAAATAAAATGAGATTTGGACCATGGCTATTTCGTCGAACACGTTTTAAAAAAGTCCAGTGCAAACTCTAATCGGCATGAAAGTGGTAAATCTCAGGTAAATTTCTTGTGGGAACACACTCATTGCATCGAAAAAAAATTTTTTTTAGCATAGCAGCATAGCATTTTTAGCAGGGTCCGGTGTGATTATGTGATTATGGAAACTTATGAAGCGTTCTGGTTCTGAAAAAGTTGACCAGGTTAACTACTAGTCTATAAACCGACGAACGCAAATCACAATTATTCATCATGGAATGACTGCTTCCATTCCGCCAATGGGCAACCAACCTTCACATGACTGTAGAGTTAATGAGCTTACACCGGACTTGTTTGGGAAAAGATCCTACCAATCTGTCCACAAGGAATCGCATGATTGGCTACCGTCACAGAAGACACAGCCATTTTGTAAAAATCAGGGTCTTAGGAGAACAAATTTTATCCACTCTACAAAGGCGAGCGACTCCTAGTAGTGACGGCCGCGTGAGATCGTGCCATCACGGCTATCTTGTGCTTTCGGATCTGACCGCCTTTCGAGATTTAACTAAGAAAAGAACTCCCATACGAAACCAAGAAGGACGACAGCTGTATGACTGTAAAGATTGGGAATATAAATACCCAGGTATCGCCAAATCATTGCCTTTGAAGACATTTGATATGATGAATAGATTTAGCAATATGTTTTGTCGCCGTTTTTCCTTTTTGTTGACTTCGTCGAGTATCTTGACTCATTTAGCAAGCTCCCTCATTTCCTTGGTTTCTGTTCACTTACCCAAATCACGTCATTTGACACGAAGACATGTCACAAAGTGCTGCTCGTAGAGAAATATATTCCACCCTACCTTTGAAAGAGGCTACCACTGTCTCAAACTAGCCTTTCTATCCTCCAGACAATTCTGACACTCCAGAAGGATAGCGAGCTCGTTTGGACCGGAGCATGGAACTGAACCAATGACCACATGTGTATTTTAAGACACCTCTAACCACTGTGTTACATGCACCTCGAAGACACTATGTACTGCACCAAAATCAGTTAAGAATTCCTTCCTTCATAAAAAAAATTACCAAAGTAGAGTGTGCTGTTGAAACCCAGTCGTTATGCAGCATGAATAAGTAACACGACTACTATTTCTAAGCAGAAAGTGCAGTCTTATTTCATCAAAATTTGAATATCTATAGAAACCATTTGAAGAAGAAACCTCATCTTTTTAGAAAACGAATGGTCACTTGTAAAGGATGATATATTCGCATTTGTTTTCATTAATGGATGTAAATTATTTGGTTGTCAAAATGGAAAAATTACAGGCACTGGTGCAAAGGGCTTCATCCGAGGCTGCTACTCGTCGCTGTTCCTCGTCGGCTTCAACCGAACTGGATCTGTTGGGGCGCTAGCTGCCCATTCATTCTGTCATACATTCAACCTTACACAGCTACTAAGCAGAGGTCAACCTCAAGAAAGTAGCATGAGGTTCGTTCGGCTCTCATACCATTCGCCTTATTCGTTTTATTCCGTACGCCACTAAACTGCAATGTTGAACTGCCAGCGGTCATTCTGCATACTCGTTGTCGCTCTTGTTTGTTCAACTGGCCAGTTCCGAGCTTTTCTCTCCTAAAAACATAAATGTTTGCTTGATGGAAAGTCGGATAGGCTTTACATCGATCCATTATGTATTAATGTGCTTTATGAAAATATTAGAACGATTTTGGAAATATTTCCCTCTTGGTAATCACATTGATGAATTCCATAGTTAACACATTCGCCTCCGGACTCGTTCCTCTATAAATGCCAAGTGTCTTTAAATAACTGAGGTTTCTGGAGATTTGATAACTTGAAAAACTTGTGCAAGGAGCTTGTCCTCTGTCCCTTTAACAAATGATATAGTTCTTCCAACGTTTTATCTCACTTTTTAATCCCTAAGAAGATCAATTTTGCAGAAAACCGAAAGGCGACTTTAACATTATAAAAAATCTTACGAAAATATGACATCCAAACTACCTACACTCTCCTACTGTACAAAGTCCCGCTTATTCGATCGCTTCTTTGTTCAAAATACGAGCCTTGTCGCAAGAAAAAGGTTAAGGACGTTTTGTGGGCCTAGAAAATCAGAATCCCATCATTATGCCAAATGAAAACTTATTTATTATTTAGAAAAAACATAAATATTTTCGTAGTAGTTGAAATCACAATGTTTACTTTTTATTTCCTGCCTACTACAATTTTCACGACAGAGTATTATGCAAAATACAGCCACAATTATGCTGAGGTGTTTGCAAAATTCCGGACCGCAGGTGTGTGCGGTGGGGAACGAACGCGCTATTGTCCTTTCCGGGGAGTAGCGCGTTCACCACCACACCATGCGGGTCCTTCATTTCGCCTGTCTCTCAGCCAATTCTATCGGTCAGTGCCATTAACAATCACCCGTCAACGGGATCGATCTGAGGAGCCCACATTTATCAGTTTTGCAAATATCTCAGCATCATTGTGGTTGTATTTTCGTAGTGTTTAATCCAAAAAATATAGTTTACCACGTCTTGGGGTACACTTCTTCAAATTAGAAGATTTAAATATTTCTAAACATGCTTGCACTGAAACGAATGAATGTCGTGTAAGAGAATTTTAGCACAACTCAAGTATATTCCATTTGAAACGTATAAGTTATAGTTTCTTTATTAACCTTTCATTACCAAACTATACCTTTTTCACAACACATCATATAATGAAGTTTAAAAATTGCGTGGGGTTGGGGAGATTTCAGGACTATCCTTTATGGAGGTTATCCAGATCTAGCAGGTGTTTCAAAAATCGCGTATCGATATCTCATGGAAAATTTCCATTTCTGTCGTTCACCTAAAAGAAGCGAAACCGAAAACCGAATATTCGATTATATGGCTTGGTCCTAAGAAATGAACTATTTAGAATGTTGAAAATGCAGAAACATGCGTAGAGGGTCACTCCCAAGGAAAGCAAGTTCCAGAATGTTGCTTACGTTCTGTAAGCTTTTTTTGTATTGGAGTTTGCCCATATTTTTCATTGTAATAGAATATCATGAAAAATATGGATAAACGCCAATACGGAAAAAAACAGAACATGACAAGCACGGTGATAGTCACGGAGTTGGAAAGGCGTCCACGACGCGAGTGTCGCTGCGGTTGATACAGTGACGAAGCCGGACGCTTCCGTCCACGGTGACGATGACTACTGGCTGATTAGTGCGCCGCCTGGGGAACTTGTAGTGATAATGCGATATCAGTCACACCGGTCCCCTCAGTCAATCGGCTCGCATCACATGTCGTTCACCAACGAAATGATGTCGACCGCAGATCTCAGTCAATACGGAAATTCGAGTGCACCTCAAACGCACGGATGGCATTTACACCAAAAGGGAACACCTTACATAACATGAATGTAATGAGGCAAATTCTCTGGAATACCGCCTAAGAACATTAGCTCATACATCAGACTGGAGGCGATGGGACTAAAACGATAGGTACGAAAAGAAAGAAGTAGGAAAGCATGGGTTTCGAATGAGGTTTTGGTTTGTTCCAACCGTCTAATGGGCACGTGCTGCCGTGCGTTGGTTGTTGTGAATTAATGAGGAGTGTACTTCATTGTAATTGTCGAAGAAGAACGAAACCTTATACATACTTAATTCAAATGAGAATGAATAGATGAACATTTTTCTGGAAGAATGAAACACTTATTGTTTACCAGACGTCGAACGTGGATCATGAACCACTTACAAACATTGATTTACAGCAATACCTTCAAAATGTAACATCAACATTGACGAAAGCTAGCAATTCTACTTTTGTGTCTGTAAAAAAGTCTAGTGGGGTGGATAGCACAGTGGTAGTGACGTCAATCATTACGAGCATGGTGCTAGTTCAATTCCGCTCCGGGTCAACCAAGCCTCTCATCCCTCTGGGGTCGGGAAATTGGTGCCGGACTTGTCTGGGAAAAAATCCCTCTCTGTAATCCAATTGGGAAAGCTCCAGCCCGGCTATATCAGGACTCCAGGAAGAATTGCTCAACCAGCATTCTACGAAATTCAAGACGAAATGATAATCCTCAAGCAGCAACCGAAGCCACATGAAAAAATTTGGAAGATTTTTAAAGGCAGTAGATGCGAGGAAACGAATCGAATGTGAGATGTGCTGGGATCCACAGAGTGCAGTGAAGACGGGTCATATAAAATAAAATCAAAAACAAAGAAATAGGAAGAAATCTGAGTTAGAAGTCTCAGTTACAATGACAGTTGTCTTAGCATCTCTGTGTTGGTGAGCTTTCAATCGACCAGCAGTTCGGCTTATCATACAGCATGTAATAAGTGTATAAGATTTCTTTAATTCATATGCATTGGCGTTTATATTGATACCTTGAGCCGCACTTGAAAACTGGTGTCTCCGTTAATGGATATCTTCTATGTCTTCCTTTTTACTCCGAGAAAAATGCTTGTGCACAGTTTTCCAATCAAGACAATTCAAGAGACCACTTGACTACTTTTTAGTGCTTGCATAGGTCATGGAAACACTTTATCTCATACCCGGTTACGATTTGAGTACATTTTGCTCTTCTCTTCATTTCATAGGATGTTTTCAGCGTTTGTTCGTGTCGTGGACAACTATGTAATGGAGCGCTTCCATCGTCGCCTGGTCGTAACTACGTACCCGGTTTCATAGCTTCAATATTACTTTGTAAAGTTTTTTTGTAGTCGCCCATTCGAGGACACAATTCACTTGACCTCATCCTCAATCTATCGATCTACGGATTTCCTGTTCATTCCTTCTCTGCATTGTCTGTCCCCATGCGGATCCCCGATTTCCTTTTTTGTGTCTTTGTAATGATTCCTTATTAGTTCGTTTGAAAAGTGCCTGGTATTCCGATTCATGAAACCTCCTATTTCTGCTATTAGGAATGGATAAAATTAATTGCGCAGTATCATATGGTGGTTTTAGTTTACTGTATTTTTACTCGTTTTTTACGTCATGCTTTGTAAAAACCGAAGTACGATGGCCTATGAAAAGTTGGCTATATTAAGATGATAATCCACATGATGAGACTTGGAATGGAATAAAGGTTTCGATTCCTTTGATTGAAGCATGCAAGTGGCTTAAAACGACCTCATTTGTCCTGATTGATGAAAACTGAGGTGAACAAGTTCATTAAGCGAAGGGAACGATCTATCTCATGGCCGACAAGCAGCCTATCACGAGAAGCGATCTAACGCCAAATTTGCACATTAAAATCTGACTTCTATCCAGTTTTTATATCGTACTCCGATAGTGTCATCAACTGCATCACATTTAATCCCGTGGTCCATCGAGTTACTCAAGATTAGCTTGCCCTCGCTCGAAATAGATGTGGAGTTGATATGTTGAAGATAACCTCGAATCGTTTCCTACTACATACGTCCCTGAAATTTAACTACGGACTTTACCAAACTTGATGTGCACACTACGACCCGCATAGACGCTAGTACAGCAACGAACGTATGTTATGCATTAGTTGGATTACTTGTCAACAAAAGAAGTAGGTCAATCGGGTAGAGGATCGTTCGTTCAACACATTATTTCCGACAGTGGAGCGCGATACAGCATCCCAAGAGTGTCCAAGTTGAAATCCCCAACATGACAAAGACCGTTAGAAGTATGTCATCGGTAATTCAATTGTGTGTCTAGAATTCTTTTGAACAAGCTCTCTATTAGATGATAAAATGGGCACCTGATAGGTACTGGAAAGCAACAAAATGCTTTTTTTTGTCTTCCACAAATAGTGAAATTGATGTACTTCAAGTTTGTGTTACTTCTCATATTTTATTTTCTCACATAGCTTGGAATTTCTTCTAACTCCAAGTTGTTTTTTAAGATCGTTACGACTGGGGAATCTTTTTGTTTGCATTCGTTTGAAGCACCGTTAGTGAGGTTTGAACAAAGCTGATTGTGAAATTTTTCTTGTAAAATATGAGACAATTGCCCATCGAGTAGTAATAAAGCAGATAAGTTATCAACGTCGAGTGCCGTCTTCAAAGAACACTCCACCGTCGATAGCACAATATTTCGGGCATATACCTTTTTCTCCAGCTCCTCCGAGTTGTCCAGGAGGTCCGGGCGGTCCAGGATTTCCGTCGGCTCCCGGTCTACCTGCTGGTCCTGGCGGCCCTTTGGTTCCCGGTGTACCAGCTGCAGCAATGCCTGCGGCTCCACTCTGCCCAGGAGGTCCAATAGGTCCAGGTGGTCCGGTTGGTCCAGGTGCGCCCGGCGCTCCAACATCCGATGATGCGGGTTGCCCAGGCTGTCCAGGACCTCCTGGAGCTCCGTCATTTCCAGGTGGTCCAGGTGGTCCAGGAGGTCCTGGTGGTCCTGGCAACGAGGGAGCGGCCGACACTCCAGATACACCATCGACTCCGGGCGCACCGGCAGGTCCAGCTGGCCCCGGAGGCCCAGGAGGTCCAGCTGGACAAGGGTGGCAAGGTGGTGGAGTAACCACCTCGCATAGTGCGGTTGATGGTTTTCCATAGGCTCCCGGCATTCCAGGTGCTCCAGGTCTTCCTGGTCGTCCAGGTCTTCCAGGATTTCCGCCTGGACCAGGAGGTCCTGATAGGCAGCAGCCCTCACAGCCTCCACTGCCGTAACCTCCGGAAATGCCACCTTCTTGGACGTATGCTTCACGTGCAGTTCTGTTCAAGACTGGTACGTCCTTTAGCGAATGCACCTCAGTCCAAATATCTTTAGCAGATCCCTAAACAACAAGTCAGAACTTGAAAAGAAAAGCACGTAAAAACGAACTAGTATTTTATGATGGATGAAATAATGGTAAGTGCAGGTTAGAAATTTCAATTTTCATGGATCGCTATAAAAACAAGCAGTTAAACTCATAACTAAGTCTAACCCACTCTATACACAAATAGAGAAGTTTTTTGTCAGTCCATTAACAGATTGTTTGGTTTCAACGATCATAGAATGACATATGCAACATTGTTTGTGAAACTCACTAAATGATAGTGTACAGTCTTACTTACTTGAATACCTGGATGACCAGTCGTCACCGGTTTTTCGACCTCAGCATAATCCCCTTTTTTCAGAGTTTCGCTGGTTTAGCCATTGTATTACCCTGGAATTCCGAGGTCAGCCTGGCCAAAGTCTGCTCCAGTTCGTCACAACCAGAAGCAGTCGCCGTGGATCAGAGGGAGATAAACCACTATGCGACTTTGATACCAAGACGGTGGCGGATCCTGGTAATGGTTAGTTACGTCGGATTCTCAGCTTGGAAGACCCTGCTGGGAGGTGGAAGGGGTGGATCTCCCCGCTGTAGACCGCAGCCTAACACCCAGGAACACCTCCCACTCACGATGAGGCGGTGAACTGTTGGGAGGAATGTACAGTCCTAGTTGTGAAAACCGGACATTTCAAGGAAATAAGAGGATAAAGAGCTATAAAAGGTGTCTTAGAACGACTATATTGAATGCAACAGATAATGTATACGGTGAGATGAACTACAGTAGTTCCTGCTCATTTTTGAACTTTGTGACTTCATCTTGCAGTGACTACGTCCACGTATTTTTATGAGTTAGCAGAAATAAATTTTGCAATATTATAGTGGTAACAAATTTTGTTTGTTATATATTTACCTTGCATAAGTTGACCTCTTTATGAACTTGCCGCTTCACATGTTGCACGTAACCATAAACCATTGGCAAAGCGATGAAGACAGACACAACTGCTACCACCGAGAAGGTTACGGCGGAGTAAGCGACGAAACGATAGGCTTTGATGCGTGCATCGAGATCCATCTTGGTGACTAAACTTGACAACTGCCCACTTATATACAGCCAAACACGGTCCGCCTGGCGTCGGAACCGGTAACATACCAGTTGACACAACGCACCCATCGGGACACAGAATCCCAAGGACAGTTGACAACTGCGAACAACACAAAGAACCGAGACTGTTGTTCATTGCTTACTGCCTAAGCGTGGCCATAACCAAAGTTTTCTTTCTTTGTTATGACAAATCAGCGATAGATGTAAATACGTTGGAAAGGTGAGTTGTTGTGTTCCACAGAACCAGATTCGAATTCTGGTCGAACTGACTGTCAAGTTATAATGTCTAGTTAATAGCATTAACCTTGTAAACCAAACATTTACCCAATCGCGATCAAAATCAGGCTTTGCTGGCGGTCGTGTAGAATCCAACTCGACCTTTCGACACGCGCAGTACGCCTTAGACTCGGCACATGTGTTCAATATATACATCCGCTGAGTACATGTGTTCAGTACACTTGCAGTGCAGTATATGTGCCCAAAAGTGAACTCCCAGAAAGAATAATTGGGGTCCGAAGGTCACAGCGGGTTCCAAGTTTTCCAAATATCTCAGCATCATTGTGATTTTATGCCAATAATGAGCACCCGCGACAATTAACCTGGTGCTGAATAAAAGCATAAGTCTGGATAGATTTTCGAACTATTTATGAAAGATATTTGAGACACGTGGAACGAAACGATTAAGGTAGCCCTGCAATACACGCGCGGTTGTCCATTCATCCAATCATTCTGGCAAGCAAAGCCCTTCATCCCTCTCGGGTCGACAAGTAGGTACCGGATTTGTCTGCGGGTAAAAATACACCGATTTGATAAATCGGTAGGCCACCCCAAGTTATTCTATAGGCCAAACTTAAACTTAAATTATTTCTATATTTACTAATGGAGCTAAACGCACGGCACATACTTAAAGGATTGACCAACGTACCAATCAGGTTTACGCTTTCATTTATTTGGAATCTGATTGCGAAATCGACCGAAGGACGGAGGCAGACGACTCAATCATGGGAACTGACGACAGTAGCAAGGCTGGAAAGATTCAAGCCTAGGTCAAACTTTCATATGGAGGTGGTTAAATTGGTACGGATAACGAATTATTGGCGTCATAGCACAAATTATGAAAGATATTCTCTAGGATCCAATGTTATGTCAAGATCTAGGTTTTTGCTGATTCACCTCATTTCAAAAACAATGCATGATGGAGACGATAGGTTACACAGGATGTGTCCAATTACTGAACTAGTCCAAAGGATTAAATAGCCATGGCCAATATATTGTTGATGAAATCCTCTTTCCGTTCCGATAAAAAGCTTCACTCCGGCACCATGTCCGGCGTAGGAAAAGCAAACATTGGATAAAGATGTTGAAGTACTTCACAAAGGACTGTTACACATACACATCATCATGGTGTGCTAGTCGGGACCCACTCAGGATTGTAGGACTGTCTGAGCCGATGGAAAACGAATTTTATGATGTAAGTACATGAATTCAATTCGGTTTACTGAACGATGAGAGCCATCCGTACAAAGCTACTATATGCCATTCGTATCTTGTGAAATAAAGTCTTTTAAGTAGGAAGTTTAGATCACAAGTGGAAGGTTAAAAGGATAAAGGACAAAGTTCTCGGCGTTGATTAATCCCTGAGGTATGCGCCATGCATTCGACTTCATTATCGTTTGGAGGTTAGTGAATGCATATCTGACCCACGGTGCCTACTGATGTATTGAGCCACTGCTGCTTTCCTCCCAGACAATTCTGCTACCAATCTGCCCACCTCGGAGAGATGGAGGGCTTGGTGGGCGATGGGTGCAGGATCGACTCCACGTGTGTGTTGCAGGGCCCCTCCGACCACTGCGCCACACGCGCCCTAGGGGAAAGTTATGCATATGAAAACTGAGAACCGCTTCCGAATACATACTAAGTTCAAAAACTATGACGAAAACACAGTGCGTGAATGCCAAGTCCTTTCGTTTAACTCAGTGGATCCTAGCACTTCGTTCGATTATTCGTCTCGCATCCGTATTCCACTAATATCTCTGGATTTGCACGTAGGTTCGGCCACAATTTGACGGTTTTGTCTCCTTCATGAGATTTAATGAGTGGTGGTTGAACGTTCTTCCCTTGACAGGCAGTTTAGCACGCGGTATAGCGAAAGTTCCTCACAAACTAATGGTTCGTGTGTAGTCCTTATGGATGACATCCCCTCAAAGGGTAATGCAAAGCAGCCACACCACGTCCTTGCTTGGTAGCTGGGTAGAAAACACCGTGTAATGTTAACTTCTTAGTTATTTACTACCTTTATTTTTTTTACGGCGGTGTACGATGTGAAATACAATCGCTATGAAGCTGAGATATTTGTAAAGCTTGCACACCAGGCCAGATTCGAACACATGATTACCCTTTGCGGATCATCACGTATAACCCATTGCACCACTGAGACCCTTTTTATGCCTTTTCCTTGGCCAATCTGGCCTGCGTCCAAGTTTTGCAAATCTCTCAGCTTCATAGTAGCTGTAAAACGTCTTTGAATATTACACCTACACACCTGTAAAAAAATTGATTAGAAGGAAATCACGCCTTTAGCAGTAACATCTGCCTGGAAACGGTGTGCAGAAGTTGCCATGGTTTTAAAAAATTGATAGACCTCTTCCAAGTTTCCGGTAACTCTCATTTGAATGCCATAAACTCGATTAATCATAACTATGAGTATTCATCGTTTTGCCTCACCGTCAATGTACTGCAATAACTCTTTTATCTTCTCCATGTACCTTTTTTAAAATTTGTTACGAAATTTATTGAAATCTTTTGCCCTGGTTATGTTGCTATTACTGCAGTGTTCGTATATCACCTGTTTCACCTGTAGTCTCATTGATCGTCGGGTGACTCGAACTGGCGCCAGTAAATATTTCATTTTTCGCTGTCGCGAACAAGAGTAGCCCAGTGGGTTCTGCTCGCTCTAGGGAGTCGTCGATCATCACACCTTTCCTCTAGGCTTTTCGTGAAGAACTCTGACTATCGGGTCGGTGGTCTTCCTGCAGTATGTTTGACATCCCGAGGAATCCAGTCACTAACGGCTCTTGTCCATCGGTTGTCATTCATCGTTCACACGCATTACGTGTCCGGCCCACCTTTTATCTTCGACTGTTTGGCGTACAGAACGGCATCTCTGATTTTTGATCGTTGGCGCATGTCAGAGCTTCGGATCCCTTCCCTTGTGTGAAACGGGATACTCCTAGCATCGTCCCTTCGTCTGCGCGTTCAATAACGCTGAGTAATCTTTCATACTGCATACGCAGCGACCAGGTTTTTGACGCATACGTTAGGGCAGGAAGTCCTGTTAAGTCGAAAAGGTGGGCACGGAGTTGGGTGTTCTTTGTTCTCTTCACTACATGTTCGATGCTCCTGAAAGCTCCCCAAACCGCTCGTTTCCTTCTGCTCAGCACTAGAGCTAAGTCGTTCAACATGTTGATTTACCGACCTAAATAGATATAACTGGAGCATTCCGAGATATTCGTTCCGTTGAGCGTGAATGGGCCCTACGAAACCAATCCGTTCCTCATGAACATGTTTTTTATAAGATTTAGTCGAAAACCAATTTTTCCACAGGCTTTATCAAACTCGAAAAACCGACTTTCTATAAACCTCGGCATAGATAGTTGATATATTTATTTATGTCATCTTATAAACTTATCTTCTTAAGCTGACGCGAGGTTGGTACAGATCTTCGTTGTCGTTGTCGTTGTTTTTGATGTTATTGATCGATGGCTGACGCTTCGGCGACTTCGCCTTCCTCAGAGCCTGGACGTATTTTATATTAGAATATTTTTATTATTCGGTGGAAAAGAAAGGTTAAAGTGTTAATGAAGATCAAACTTTCAAATAGACGCCATATTGAACGGAAAGGCCACTCACCGTGATGTTACGTGCGGGACTAGACTGCGAGGATTTATCAAAGTCGTCAAGCATACGCTTGGCTAATGTTTGGTGTTATAAGGACGATGTCATCAGCAAAGCGAAGATGGTGTAACTGCCCACCATCGATCTTCACTCCCACATTATCCCATTCCAATGTTCGCATGACGTTCTGGAGGGTGGAGGTAAATAACTTTTGGCGAGATGGTATCGCCTTGCCTAACTCCTCTCTTGACGTCAATGTTAATATCGTTGTAGAATGGTTATATTTTCTTCCTAAAATTTTTTAACGGCTCACATAGAATCTTTATATATTGAGTAAGGACTCCTCGACTATCAATGCTTCCCAGACTGCTTCCATCTCAACTGAACCAAAGGCCTTCTGTAAATCGATGAAAGTGAGGCAGAGCGGTCTTTCGTACGCTCACGATACTTCAATGAGCCGCGTTACCGTGTGGATGTGGTCCACCATACTAAAACCTATTAGAAACCCTGCTTGCTCACATGGCTGTCCTTCGTCTAGTGCAACTTCAAAGAAGCAGCCACATCTCTATGAAACATGCAAATTGGTGCCAGTCACATTTATAGACAGCTTTTTATTTCCTACCAAATTGTGCAGCTAGGTAATAAGAGGATTTGTCGGCAAATAAAAGATTTATGACGACCTACCATAGAAAAACTCGGTTACTTACTTAGTTAAACACTTGGGTGGCACGTCCTCACTGGTTGTGTGTTCCTCGGCATAATCTCCACGTTTTCAGAGTTTTGCTGGTTTAGCCACTGTGATTCTTTGCAGTCCCGAGGTTAGCCAGGCCAAAGTCTGCCCTAAGTCGTCACCACCACAGGCAGCCGCCGCGCTTCTGGATTAGAGGAAGATTTGCCACCATGCGGCTAATTTGATACTAGGACGGTGGTGGTTCCTGGTATTTGTTTACTGTTAGTTCGGCTTCGTAATGGAAAAGCCATTGTTACTGTTCTTCTCTATTCAATGCCTTTTCTTACACGACTTTTCTTCAGAGTTTCGCGTGTTCGAACACGAGTTGGCGATTGTCTGCGGCTTAGGCGATTCCATGTCGGCGCTTTGGCTTGAATGTTCGTGGAGACAGCCTCCCTTGGTTACTTTCGAATCGTCGGCCTTCATAGCACTTAAATACAGATTT